CCACTAATATTTTGATTGTAATTTTAATGGTCAATATATTACATTTTCGGCGGTGAAGGTAAACATCGCAAAGAAACGCGTCCGTTATCTGAAAAGTTAAAAATATTTCGGAAATTATATGAAGACGGTTCTGCTGCGTTGGAGTCAGCAGCTAGTAGTGAAATGTATGTAGGGTGCTATTTTTTTACTTTTAATGTGGCTATTATACAACTTTTATTTCATTCATATTTTCGGAGATGTTTCATTTTTAACATTAATATTAAGGGTAGCGAAGATGAGTACAACATATAATAGTTATAAAGCCTATCAAAAGTCCATTGATGAACATGGGCCACCCTCGTAGTTTGCCAAATAGGCTGGATATTTGCCGTAGTTGCCACGCTTGACACGCGAGTTGGCATCTGCAAATTTTCACCAGAAAGATGGTGCTGTTCATCTCCTGTTTCAATTTCCCTCTACTGCCTCTTTTGAAATTCCCGTGACGATATGGGATAGTGAATTCTGCTACTTCGCCATTACAAGACGACCATATTTCTACTCCTATTCACGGATGTAGTTTTTCTCACGTTCACCGTGAATAGAACTCCATTTATGAAGTTTTGAAGTCTACTGAAACGTAAAAAAATATCACCACCTATCATATGGTGACGATCAATATTAAATGGGGCCAATAATATGAATCAAATATCGCAAATAAACATTATTACATCTTAAATTAAAAGACCTTGAAATTATTTTTGTACATTATATTGTCTAAACTCTATTACCTTTATAATGAATAAATATAAAGAATAAAATGCGAATTCTGATTGCAATTACCCTTCATAATGACTGATCGTAAGTCATGCCCGTTATAAAAAGTGACAGATGTCGTTAGACGTATGACATTTATGCAATTATAAAAAACTCACACAATGACACGTTCTTGTAGCATATTTAATCTTAACTAAATTGCAATAATCTACGTACAGTCCCTAAAGACCGATTTACACTTCGACAAGTACAGCAGCGAGTTTAGTTACAGGGCAGTTGACAGTAAACGGTTAAGTGGGCAGTAGCGTTCAAACTATGTCTTCGTGGCGAGTTTAGTTAAGGACATTAGTTCATAGAGTTCGTAGGTGTATGACGTTTCAAGACCAGAATTTTTCCGGTTTTCGTTCAAGATGGTTCTAGGATTACGTAATAATATAATAAATGATCCAGTCAGAGAAGTATTAATGGTTATTGTTAAAGAAGTTTTTAAGAATTTTCGTGAGTGCAGCATCTCGAGCACGTTTAATTTTACAATTTGAACTACTACTATTAAATAAACATTCGTGTTCTAAATACTCCTGTACGAATTTATACGTGATATTTTCCGTCTATTTTATTATTAAAACTCAATATAAAACGTATAAATATTCAATAAACAGTACGGTACAAACTTTGTGGCGAGTTTCATTATAAAAGTACAATTGTACGTTTTGGCGCGCAAACGTTGTGTCCTGTCAACTTATGCACTGAACTTAATTACTAAACTCGCTCGTTCACATGAACGCCGAGTTTAGATGCGGGTGGCGGGAGGGCAACACTTTGCACTTAACTCGCCGTAAAATAGCTAGGCCGGCTATCCCGTTCAACTTAATCGTTAAGTTGCTACTTAACTCGCTTTTTGCTGTTCAAACGAGGTTCAAACTTAACAAGCCAGTTTCGCAAGTTAACTCGCTACTGTACTTGTCGAAGTGTAAATCGGTCTTAAGAATTAAAAAAAAATCCTGTGACAAACATATACCGAGGTGACTCTATAAGTCATCCAATTTATTTAGCCATGTTTTAACTTTATATTTCATTTAACTAATTTTGACATGGAGTTGTATATATGATATTTTTAAATTTAAATCTACGCAAGCAATGCCGCGGATATAAAGCTAGTATTTTAATATTTTATTTTCATCAACAGACAATAGTGTATAGGAGAACAATCATTACACTAGAATTTCACTAACATACACATATAAAAATGTAAAGTCGTCGTAAACCCGTTACATTAATAAGGAATGTGCGAAACTAAAAGTCATATATAAATTATTCATCGTGTTTAAAAAATATGTCGGTCAGGTAGGTAGGTATTCCTTGTATTTCCTCTATGTTTTCCACACAAGCGTGTCTCTGTGCTCGCAAAAGCTTATTTCATAATTGTACTGCAAATTTAAAGAGCTGTTTATGCCCTATGGAATTATTCATGACTTGATTCTCTAAAGAATTCATGCATGTAATACACGACTGAAACATTTGATGTAAGAATTTTACTAAAACATTTTTTAAAGAAAAAAATGCATTCATTTATTATATATCAAGTCCATAGCTGAACATAGGCCTTCTTCATAAATTGACTCATTATGGATACGTGCCTTAGTTGTTACGCTTAGCAGTCAGGTTGGCAGTCGAAGTTTTTTATTGTTTTGAATTGTTATCAAGACGATGTTGCAGTCCAAACTCTGTTTGTTTTCCTCTGCCGCTTCCATTGAACACCGCGATGATATGAGGTATAGTAGATTCTTGATCATATCAATATTTTTGGGTTAGTGCTAATAAACCACCAAATGACGGTATATCAATGACAAAGACAGACTGGTGATAGATATGATTGGAATGAATTTAGCATTTATACACTAGCACTAGCTATTTAGCATTTATACATTAGCACTAGCTATTTAGCATTTATACATTAGCACTAGCTATTTAGCATTTATACATTAGCACTAGCTATTTAGCATTTATACATTAGCACTAGCTATTTAGCATTTATACACTAGCACTAGCTATTTAGCATTTATACACTAGCACTAGCTATTTAGCATTTATACACTAGCACTAGCTATTTAGCATTTATACACTAGCACTAGCTATTTAGCATTTATACATTAGCACTAGCTATTTAGCATTTATACACTAGCACTAGCTATTTAGCATTTATACATTAGCACTAGCTATTTAGCATTTATACATTTATACACTGCAGCAGCCTTTGCTGTTGCAGTTGTCAACGCCTCTGTAGTCTTTTTTATTTGAGGTTGGCTGCTGATGCCCGTGGACTGCTGCAGCCACTTACCATCAGGTGGATTGTAATTTCGTTAATCACTTCAGATTTATAAAAAAAACGGGATGTGGCTGTGTTGCGAACACGGTCGTGTGTTTTACGTGAATACGTATATGTAACGAAATGATCTCATAATAGCAGCACACTTCCTTTGCCGCATGCGATGTGTCACAGTCTACACTCAATGTACCGATTTCGAACACGTACTAGATGAAGATGATATATAATATGTTTTTTTTATGACATGCGAGCAGCTATACAGGTCTAGGGAAAGAGACCAGTACAGAGCGACCTAAAAGATATATTGTTATCGCTGCTATAGCTATAGTTCACTGCTAAGCCCTACCTATGTCTTCAATTAATAGAAGGAGTTGCTTCGATAGATATGTTGCTGCAACACCAAATTGTATCGTCCGTTTTTGTTTTCACCAGTTTTTGAGTTGTCTCCTTCTATGGAGTAGCCCTCATTGCGTTTAGTTTATGCTTATATTACGTTTATTTATTAAAATCTTTTTATTGATATTATTAATTAATCCCAAGTTCTAAAAATATAAAACTTACATGAAAATTAATGGCTTAGTTGCCTTAATATCTGGTACAAATTCTATAATAAAACAACAAAAAAAGTATGCGGTACCTACTAAATCTGCCGTTCCCCTTTAAAGACGTATTCACGTCAAAAATAAATATGAATAAAATAGGTCAAGAATTTCGCCAACAAGATAAACATCGTAAAATACATCCATTGCCGTTGCTTAGTGGTGTTTCTTGTTAAAAATGAATTTTGACGCTATTTTTATGTAATTCATACCCGTAAACAACGTTTCTAACAAAAAAAATCCACGATTTCTTGGATTAACATTTATTTAATTAAATTTATTAGAAAGTCGCAAAATAGTTTAGGAATTATTTGTTTGATTGACATGATCTTTTTAAATACTTTATTATTAAACGTGTAATATAATTTATTATTAATGGTGTTTATTATTATATAGTGTATAAATTTTTATGTGCTCCATAGCTGATACGCATGGCAGCTTGTTTATAAAATCTATTTAGTATTTGTTGTATGTGGGACCATTCGCAAAATAATATTTATATTTAATTTACTCTTGAAGTCGGTGCTAAGAAATAGTTTATCGAAAAATTATGAGTATATCCCCGACTTCATAAGCTTTTGTATACAAAGAGATCATTTTTTTAAGTTTTTGTAGATTAAATTGATTTTTAAATAAATGTTTTTTGTTTTACAATATTTTTATCAAAGATTTTTATTTGTTTAAGTGTTCTTTTATTAAATTTTCCGCCATCAATGAGTGCCTTAGGAATGTTGTGTAGATAGTTTAAACTTAGTAAAACGCGTGCTTCTACTTAAGTCAGAGCATTTCCGCTCTCGTAAGTCTCGTTAACATTTGAGCAAAATATTTAGATGAAATATTGAATAATATTGTTCTATTAACCAATTTATAAATGTTGAACAATCCCCAGTCCCATATGAGTTCCCCGTGACCATGGGTGCTGATGCTGTGCACCCAAAACGTCGGTAATTAAAAATAAGTTGAATGAAACGCGATAAAATTACCTAGTATAAGTAGTTTTATTAAAAGAAATGTAGTATATTGCACTAATTTGAGAGCTTAATATGTTGTTTTTTAAACTCGGATCATTGTCATGCAATAGATATATTATTATACGATAATATTATTTCTCGTGTGACGCTAGATTGCAGCGCCCTAATATATGTCCTGTCGCCCGCTATACATATAGATATTGGATAGTGTACAGATGATATTGATATTGTATAAATAGGGTTATTTTGCAATAACCGGCCCAATTTGCAGAGAGGGTTCAGAATGAGAAATATAAGTAAACGGTGAAAAAAATATAATCAAAAAATGTAAAACTTTCATTTAAATTCAAAATGCATGGTAATGCAATATTTTACTAATTTTACTGCATACGCACACATTTCTAAGGGTCGATCGGTCACAAATCACATTCAGTTTTGGATAATTTCAAATAAAAGTAGAAGAATTTAAGTCTATTTTTTTCTGCTTCTTGACAAATAACCCTGTATATTCGGTTGGCATCGCATCTCCTAAGAAACGTTGTGATGATAGTGATGTTTGGTATAACAATCATGTGATGTTTCCAAAAATAATACACAGCACATTTAATATCATTACAGCTAAGTATAACAAAGTAATAAAGATGGAGCGCCGCGTACACTTAATGTGATTCAAAAACCAAGCCAAAGCCAAGATTAACTTATTTTAAGACCATGCACTTTCGTATACACACGCATCTTAAATAATTTACAACCATAGATATGGTTTTAGGTGCATATGTGTGCATCAAGCAGTGAACTGTTACAGGTTAGTAAATGTTATAGGCTGATAAAGAAAGCAAGAAGAAAGAAGTGTTAGTATGTGATAGCAAGATGTTGAGCATATTTTCTTTTCTACTCATCATTCATTACATCATTTCTACTATCTAGCATCATCACTATCTAGCAGCGCTTCGTCATTAATTAATGGTTTGAGTATTCTATACAAACAACAAATTTGTATATTAATTCAAAAGTAAGATTTATAAACAAGCTTTGCTTTTTAAGCATTGTACGTAATGACTTAACCTTGACTTCATTACGTATATTCAATCTTATCATTGTTTGGATCACAAAAGATATTTCGCATTCATAAAGTGTTCTCATAACACAGTCTTTCTTTCACGTTTAGTAATAAGTCTACTAGTCGGCCTGACGGGTGTTCGGTTTCGATTTTCTTACGAAATCATTATTGTACGGCCTCAAGCAATGTGAAAGGATAGGATTTTTTCGCCAATTCTTCTTTGTATTAATTATTATATTAGTGAGATGTGTTTATTTTTAAAAAATTTTATTCACCTTTTGGTATTTTTTAATTTAAATTTAGCTCATAGCGCTGTATTGAATAAAGATCTTTATAGATTGGATATAATTCACTATAATGATTTCCACGACAGGTAAGAGAGAATATTATTTTGTTTATTGCTAACATTTTACAAGCGAACATACCTATGTATAGGTATATTATATCTTAGCATTGTACTAAAAGTAGTAACTTTGAGTGGTGTTTAATAGTAGGTTTTAAATTAGAAAACGACAGTTTTAGTTTAGAATACAAAATTTATAATAGCCTAGTTATTTAAAATTAAATATTACCTATTCAAAAGAATCCTATATGATTTGATATTAACGGGCTGTTGTAGTTTTGAGATATTCAATTTTTAAAAACACATTTGTAGCATCTTAATGTGAGCCCATAGAATTATTTCTATGTGAACCTTTAACTCTGATCGCAGTTGTGTAAACTGTGATCGACTAAATTTTATTTGATCGAGTCAAAAAGTGTTTGGTTTGAAAAAAGATTAAGGCTAGCTAGCAAAGCAGCTAGGCTAGGCAAAAATAAAAATATCTGCGTAATATGGAATAATTAATAGATATTCCATGTTATATAGATTGTGCAAATCAATCACTACAGATACACATTTCGGAAAATGTACACAGGAATCGCATGACTTTATTCCTCTTGCTACATTCCATCATCGGACCACCTGACGCTCGGTTACTCTCCATTCCTTTGTTTTTAACATACATTAGTATCAAACTGTTTGCTTCGTTGTTCATGTGTACTCACGCCTATTCACAGGGTAGATTACTAAATAAAAGCTTCCCTATTCACTCGGTAGATTATTAAAAAAGCTTCCAGTTTGTAATTAATTTTAAGAAAAATCTCAAAAAAAAACACTCCGTTTCACATGATATAAAATTGTAACTCAAATGAGTAAAATAATTTGCCAGCACGTGTCTTTCTATCCGGTTACAATATGGATGTCTTCAAGCCAAGAGTGAATAGGCTTTTGTTGTTTACAATATATGGCTGCAACTCAACTTAGCACCAAAGAAAGAAACACTTATTTCGGTTTATTAATCAGCTAGAAGTCCAACACTGGCTAATAATAGTTAAATAAAAAAAAAAAACAAAAGTAACATTTATTTCAAAATAAGGTTGATTAAATATATTGCATGGAAAATATAAATAAAAATACAAATACACAAAGTTAAGTAGATTTCAGTCGGGTTGGGTTTGAAATTGAGTCGCCTGAATTTGAGGATTCTGTTATGTCAAATTGGCTCCTGAATGTGCCAATAATGTAGCAGAGGTCCTCCTGAAGCTGTGCCCAGTATAATACTCAGCATCCGGCAGACCAAGGAACGTAGCTATTTCTTTTGGCATATTACCAAATTTGTTTATCCCAATTGCTTGAGCTGTACACTTCCCTTTTTGATAATTTTGGAAAAAACGGTCAGTTTTTGCTTTTTGGGATCGCTGATTCATATATTTTTGCATTATTCTAAGAAAATTTCCTTCAACAACAAAGCTTCTCGGTATCTTATTTTTTGTATTCGGAATCTTGATTAGTAGCATTTTTCCATAGGCTTCAATATCTTTTAAGGTAATATTGGCTAACTCCTCTCTGCGGCAAGCTCTAACAACGCCAAAAATCAGCGCAACCTACAAAAAAGGGATTTGATTAATATTTTTTAAATAATACATTGACTGTATTTTGCGATTTCGTAAACTGAATACTAAAGAAAAATATAAGTATTTATTAATAAATTAGCTTTGTGGCTAAATAACGATCATCGGGAGCTTCGGTCAAAAACCTTTCCACTTCATTCGATGTTAATATTTTCGACTTTTTTGTTGTAAAACCGTCTGATAGTCGTTTTAAGAAAGCATTTAGTTTTGGGTATTCACTTATATCCATGTCGCTCCTTATTTTCAGCATACATTTTTATCAACGAAAACCTCGACCATAACGTAGAAGGTTTTAATTTTGCTGAGAGTTCGGAGAAGTATGCCAATATAACATTTTCTGAAAAACTATTTGCTTTTTTCTCTTCTCTCCAAGCAATAAATTCGTCGTATGTAGATATGTAGCGACTTTTTGACTTTTCCGGTAAAATGTTCTCCGAAGCATTTTGTGGAACTATACTGAGTTCCGGTGGTGTAAATTAAAATAAAATATCGTCGAAATTACTCATTTTCTGCAACAAACAACTTGAAAAAACATTTTTTGGAAAATGGCGCCAACCGTAAAATAATATAAAGCAGAGATTTTTTTTATTTTCTTCACCCATTCTGGGTAGGCAGAGGGAACTATACCCACACAGCCAAGTTTTCAGTAGAATTTTTTTATTTGATATAAAATGAAAATGAAGTTTAATGAGATGAAATGAAATGAAACCTAACCTAACTCATTGAATCAAATCATTAAATCTGATATTGAAACAAATTAGTAAAGTACGTTTCTAGGGCAGGCGGAAAAACGTACATTGACCTCAAGTATTATGTTAGTATCGAAACCAAACGACAGTTATTGCTTCCATACATTTCTTTATAGATTACGTATCGTTATGCGCTAAGCGCGTGTCTCATGGTACGGGGTCATTCAGAGATAATAAACCTGTTTCGACGCGATTTGCGATACGTCTCACGCCGTGCGTATTTGAGAAAGCGGGTGGAGCAGAACTCATTCCTCATTCTACTTCGGGATGCGCTTGCGTGTAAATAGTTTGAGATTTAAAATTTTCGGTTATAGTAGTTGTTTTAATTTTTATTAAGTTTGGTTTGTTAGTTTTATCATTACGTTTTGTATTAAAGTTTTTGTTATTATTTTGTGACGTTTTGTATATTATCACCAGTATGAAATCAGGTCCATCGACATGAAAATTTCATAAAAACTTTACGTCACCACGAAAGAAGTGAAAAGTGTCGCATATTTCGAAAACCGAAAAAATAATGATTGTAAACATCTAGAAATATGTAAAAGAAATGTGGTCTAGTGACGTATATCCAACCAAAACGGATATGAAAAAGAAGACTGCCGATATTTTAGGTTATAATCAATGTTAAGAATTCTTCTACGTCTTCATCATCATAAAATGATTCTGAAATAGATACAGATGAATAGTCTGTCAAGTGTCTCTGACAATCTATTATGAGAAGTTTTATGCATGCTTCAAGGTTGGCTACTTAAGAATGCTTAGCATTAAAAGTTCGTCTTTTTACCTGACTGCCAAGAAGTGGTTATGTTTTATACAACTACCTACCTACTTATTAAACTACTTACCTACTATTAACGTAATAATGAAAATTGTAATAACTCATGATTTATAAATAATACATTTAAATTAATATTAATTTGCTTTTTAATTCATTTAGGTACAGGATAATCTTCTTTCTTTATAATATAAGAATAGACATAGCCTGCCTGTAAAAAACTTCGCACTGGGCACCCTTATCTTTCACTCTGATGATGTATGTAATGATAAAAGGATAAAAAATGAACCTAAACAAAAAAGATTGCCTACCCCGATGATATCGTCAAAGGTCAATGCACTTTTTTCCGCCTGCCCTAGAAACGTACTATAGCCTCTTTTTAGAAATATTTGCATGAATCATAAAAACTTATATGATTTTTTTAGTAAAAACTTCGTGGTTGGTTTTTTATTTTTAATGGACATTATTTTGACAGTTGGAAAAGAGAACGCACGAGTTCGGAAAAGATAAAGATAAAGCTCGAGTATGAAATAGCCCACATCCCAAACGCTATACGTCCCTGCAATACGCCACTTTTTGAACAACTGTACTAAAAAAGTAGCTTCCAATGCGTTAATTATAAAAAAAATCTCAATAACAAAGCTCTCCGTTTAACATGTTGTTATAAGATTTTATGTTATCTGTGCTGTAGTAGTAGATATTATTACTGACTGCTTATGGACTTAAAAAAGGCTAAGTATTCGACACAAAAAAATTCGTGTATAAAAATATGCGAAAACATGAGTAACAATTATTTTAAAATAATACGTGTTAAAATTAGACTTAAAAATAGTTTATTTCATAATCACCTGACGTAAAAAGTTAATTATTGGTATTAGTACACAAAGTGAGTAAAGGAGAAGGAGAGGGTCTCCATACATTCTTGGGCTCAGGTGTTAACAAGATGACAGTAGGTCCATTTGAAAGCTTATATATTAAAAATTTATTGCTGATTTATATTTCAAATAAGTGGTAAAATTTAAAATTTTGTACAACCGAATTCAAATACGACCGAATCAATATATTCGAATTCAATTAAATACGTACTATTTAAGGATAACCAAAAAACTACTGCTCAAATAATGATCAAATTTATATGGGACCACTTGAGAAGCACCACACATAAAAAACATGCAATCGAATTGAATACCTCCTTTTGGAAAACGGATAAAAATTAGCTACATTTTTGTATTAATTAATACAATCGAATTTATATTTATTTGCATCAAAAAAATAAAAATAAAGTATATAATAATAATATAATAAATAAATTCTATTATTTACTTTGAATGATATATTAATTTGAAAATAAAGTATATGATTCGCGTAAAGAAAAAAGAAAAAACATTTTTATGGAAATAAATCGATTACCACAGAGAGTCAACACTTATGAAATTCTCGTTTCAGAACGCTACCTACCTATTAAAGGAATTCTCATTTTGAAACTTGACTTGACAGTTCAAATATCAAAACTATTCACATAAAAGAAAAAGGTCGATTTTTGATTCGATTTGAAAGGAGCGCAAAACAATCCATCCTCGATTAAATTAAGCATATTAATACCTATTTTCGATTACTATTCTTTGTTAACTAGGGAGATAAGAGAATTGCAAACATGTCTACAAAATAATAATAAAAATACAACTACGTGCCAAAAATAACAGTAAGAACAATTCAAGTAATCGATCTCAGATCGATATGCCTAATATTCACTACACTTAGTTATTACTGTTTTAACTTTCGTTGTTCGTTTCACTATTTCGTTTTTACAGCTTTTCTTTGATTTTATACTTTATCTTGCTTTTATATTGGCGGCATAGGCACTGAGAATTTTCCTTACTCGACTAAACCGGCCTT